TGTCTGTAGACATCTCCCCCCCCCCCCCATCACTGTTCATCACCCCGCCCCCATTTCACTGTAGCCATCGTCCAATGCCAATTTGGTGGACATCGCCCAACCCTAGTTGGTAGTCAGGAGTCCAAGCCATCACCATTGTGCCCTAGAATCCTAACCCCAGATTACCACAAGGGAGATGTTTCTGTAATAAGTGTACTGCAAGTTGCTTTGGATAAAACTTACTTAATATAAAATATTTAATATAAAAACTGACTTTGACTTTAGTTATCAGAAATTATTAGATCTGTTTTTGTGGCTTGTAGCAGTATTCGAATAAATGATCAAATTACTATTAACAAAACTAATACTATACTAAAATATTAGTATTAATAGTAGTAGTAGTAGTAAAGACAATAAATATGTAAAGTTGTAAAAATGTGTTATTAATATCATTAATTATTTTTAATAGTAACTAGAGCTCATAATACTAATAATAAGACAATAAACAAAGAGCTTTTAATATTGTAAATAATGTGTTCATAATGATGAAAGCAATCATTTATTATATTATTGTTATTATTACCCATATGCATTAGCTTTATACAGACAACAAACAATTAGCAATTTAGACAACAAAGTTTTGTAATAATTGTTGTAAATATTAAGTGCTAACAATAATGCTATCTTATATTACCCACATACTTTAGATTTGTCTTATGCAGACACCAAACAATATACAATATGTTGTTAACACATTTTTTTATTTTTGTAATAGTTGTTATTATTAATTGCTGTACATATTAAGTGTTAATAATAATAATTATGATTATTTGCCAGATATATCAGATTTGAAGAATTTCATGTTTTTTTCAGTAAGATAATAGAACACAGTACAGTAAAATAATAGACACTGAATGTGTTATTCATGTTAATAACTGCTGTAAATTCGTGTTTGTAATAATAATAAATTATTGAATTCACACACAAACACAGTGAAGCAACATTAAAGTCAGTGTTGCTCCATCACTTCAGGGCCAGCGTAAGTCACACATTATTCTCGGATTTCTTTTGCACTTTCTTACGGATTCGCTCCTATTACACAATTCGGCAGTCGAACGACTGTCAAAACAAATATATAAATGCTATTCTTCATCATGCATGTCAAAAACACGCACGCGTTCATATGTCGCGGTGTCTGTGGCAAAACACAAAGAGCGTCATTCTTCACTCATTTCTAAAAAGCAATACCAGGCACAGAAAACGCCTCTGTAGCGCAAACCATTAAAAATTATCATGTTAATGTTGATATTTCATACCTGTTCCGAGAATGACAACATCAAATTGAGATGGGAGAGCCTCCGCAGCCATCTTGAAACTACACACGGTCACGTGACACGCTATAGCGTGACGTACACTTTCTAGTACCTAAAACATACAGATTTAAACACACAGTAGCCAAAATGTACACAACATCTATTCAGAACTGGAATCCTCCATATTTGAAAAGAAAGAAGAAAAAAAAGAAACCTTCAAAATCATTCAGGCTTTTTGTTGACATTTTCCACACATCTCATATTCTTTGATTTCGCCTCCTGTGTATCGAAATTGGCTAAAACCCTGTCTGTTTTTTTTTTATGGATATTAATTAGAAATATGATGAAGACACCATTCATGAATGTTATGTAGTTAAAGTGTTTTGATATTAATGTAACATTTGCATGCAAGTAGGGATATGCCGGTATCAAATTTTCATGTTGCGATTAATTGCTAATGTTGTTATCGCGGTATACGGTATTATCGCGATATTTAAATTTCGATGGGGAAAAAAGTGCTGTCATAATACAGTATAACAGGTTTAATAACTTTTTTCTTATAACAAAAATAACTGAACATTTAAATGCAATGAAGCAATACAGAAAAATGTATAAAGTTAAAAGTTTTACACAGATTAAAGTGCAAAAGAACAATAGGTATCACTTTACAATAAGATCTCATTAGTTAACCTTAGTTAATGCATTAACATTGACAATGAGCAATAGCTACATTTGCTACAGAAGTTATTAATCTTCGTTTAAAAAATACCAGTCTTAGTTCATGTTAGCTCATTAAATAACACAGTTGCAACTTTCGATTTTAACAACGTGTTATTAAATATTGGAATACCTCAGATTAATGAATGCTCAGAAGAATTTTTCATTGGCAGTTTATGTTAACTAATGAATTAACTAATGTTAACTAATGAAGCCCTAATGTAAAGTGTGGCCGAACAATAAAGAATCAAAACACTTTCAAACAATATCTAGGGCATGTTGTAGTCCAGATTAAAATGTAAAAAAAGTTTGAAAATAAATAGCCTATTAAGTCTAAATATTGAAGTATTTGGCGCTGTGATGAACATCATGGCAAATACACAAATCTGAATGGCTGTTTAAATCATTTAAACATGATTCAGAAACAGAAAGTAGTGCAGCTGCTTTGTTTACAGGGTTTCCGGGGTAACGGCTGCATTTAAATGAATTATTATTATTATTATTATTAGTAGTAGTAGTAGTAGTAGTATTTCTGCAGTTTAGTGTCATCTGCTGTCAGAGAGCTTTCATCCAGAGCGTCTCTCACATGTTCCGCCATGCGCTTCTCGTCCGCGCTTGTTTACATCAGAGTGCGCACGCGTCTTTCATGCAGCATACAGCGGTATTGTGCAGTTTGACCAGTTTATGGGAAAAGTATTCTTAAAATGCATTCAAAATTCTGAATAATTTGTTATATATAATTATTCATGGTATTTAGAAGTGCACACAATAACAATATCGTGCATATTTATTACCGTGATATATCGCATTACCGAATACCGGCACAAGTCTACATGCAAGTACGGTATATAAAACATAAACATAGGCATATATAGAAATGGCAAGTGTCAACGATTTTAAATTTAATTTCGCACAACATGACTTAATGTAATGTTCCAAAATGATTTTTTTCTCTGTATAATGTACACTACTTTGCAAAAGCCTTAGGCCAGTTAGTCTGTAATGTTGCTGTTTGAGCATAAAAAAAGATCTGCAAAGTTACAAAGCTCAAAGTCCACTTCAAAAAGAAGATGTTTTATTCAACAGAAATCACTTTTCAAAAACTACAACGAACGACTCGTTTGGACTACAATGCATATTTTCCGGGATTTGTGATATCACAAATACTGACGAATGGGATGAGACCTGGCTGAGCTGCACTAGAGAAGGCAACTAGTGTTATCACTATGTCGGAGACACGCTAGCTTTCCCAAGGCAGAAGAACTTAGAGTGGTTACAATCATCCGGGTTTAAATCGCGCTCAAATTGAATTGATTTTGACGCAATATTTACACTGAAGCTCGCAGCGGCTATGGTAAGAGGCATGACATTTCACTGGCCCAGCTAACCAATCACAGCACACACTTATATAAATGCTATTCTTCATCATACATGTCAAAAACACGCACGCGTTCATATGTCGCGGTGTCTGTGGCAAAACACAAAGAGCGTCATTCTTCACTCATTTCTAAAAAGCAATACCAGGCACAGAAAACGCCTCTGTAGCGCAAACCATTAAAAATTATCATGTTAATGTTGATATTTCATACCTGTTCCGAGAATGACAACATCAAATTGAGATGGGAGAGCCTCCGCAGCCATCTTGAAACTACACACGGTCACGTGACACGCTATAGCGTGACGTACACTTTCTAGTACCTAAAACATACAGATTTAAACACACAGTAGCCAAAATGTACACAACATCTATTCAGAACTGGAATCCTCCATATTTGAAAAGAAAGAAGAAAAAAAAGAAACCTTCAAAATCATTCAGGCTTTTTGTTGACATTTTCCACACATCTCATATTCTTTGATTTCGCCTCCTGTGTATCGAAATTGGCTAAAACCCTGTCTGTTTTTTTTTTATGGATATTAATTAGAAATATGATGAAGACACCATTCATGAATGTTATGTAGTTAAAGTGTTTTGATATTAATGTAACATTTGCATGCAAGTAGGGATATGCCGGTATCAAATTTTCATGTTGCGATTAATTGCTAATGTTGTTATCGCGGTATACGGTATTATCGCGATATTTAAATTTCGATGGGGAAAAAAGTGCTGTCATAATACAGTATAACAGGTTTAATAACTTTTTTCTTATAACAAAAATAACTGAACATTTAAATGCAATGAAGCAATACAGAAAAATGTATAAAGTTAAAAGTTTTACACAGATTAAAGTGCAAAAGAACAATAGGTATCACTTTACAATAAGATCTCATTAGTTAACCTTAGTTAATGCATTAACATTGACAATGAGCAATAGCTACATTTGCTACAGAAGTTATTAATCTTCGTTTAAAAAATACCAGTCTTAGTTCATGTTAGCTCATTAAATAACACAGTTGCAACTTTCGATTTTAACAACGTGTTATTAAATATTGGAATACCTCAGATTAATGAATGCTCAGAAGAATTTTTCATTGGCAGTTTATGTTAACTAATGAATTAACTAATGTTAACTAATGAAGCCCTAATGTAAAGTGTGGCCGAACAATAAAGAATCAAAACACTTTCAAACAATATCTAGGGCATGTTGTAGTCCAGATTAAAATGTAAAAAAAGTTTGAAAATAAATAGCCTATTAAGTCTAAATATTGAAGTATTTGGCGCTGTGATGAACATCATGGCAAATACACAAATCTGAATGGCTGTTTAAATCATTTAAACATGATTCAGAAACAGAAAGTAGTGCAGCTGCTTTGTTTACAGGGTTTCCGGGGTAACGGCTGCATTTAAATGAATTATTATTATTATTATTATTAGTAGTAGTAGTAGTAGTAGTATTTCTGCAGTTTAGTGTCATCTGCTGTCAGAGAGCTTTCATCCAGAGCGTCTCTCACATGTTCCGCCATGCGCTTCTCGTCCGCGCTTGTTTACATCAGAGTGCGCACGCGTCTTTCATGCAGCATACAGCGGTATTGTGCAGTTTGACCAGTTTATGGGAAAAGTATTCTTAAAATGCATTCAAAATTCTGAATAATTTGTTATATATAATTATTCATGGTATTTAGAAGTGCACACAATAACAATATCGTGCATATTTATTACCGTGATATATCGCATTACCGAATACCGGCACAAGTCTACATGCAAGTACGGTATATAAAACATAAACATAGGCATATATAGAAATGGCAAGTGTCAACGATTTTAAATTTAATTTCGCACAACATGACTTAATGTAATGTTCCAAAATGATTTTTTTCTCTGTATAATGTACACTACTTTGCAAAAGCCTTAGGCCAGTTAGTCTGTAATGTTGCTGTTTGAGCATAAAAAAAGATCTGCAAAGTTACAAAGCTCAAAGTCCACTTCAAAAAGAAGATGTTTTATTCAACAGAAATCACTTTTCAAAAACTACAACGAACGACTCGTTTGGACTACAATGCATATTTTCCGGGATTTGTGATATCACAAATACTGACGAATGGGATGAGACCTGGCTGAGCTGCACTAGAGAAGGCAACTAGTGTTATCACTATGTCGGAGACACGCTAGCTTTCCCAAGGCAGAAGAACTTAGAGTGGTTACAATCATCCGGGTTTAAATCGCGCTCAAATTGAATTGATTTTGACGCAATATTTACACTGAAGCTCGCAGCGGCTATGGTAAGAGGCATGACATTTCACTGGCCCAGCTAACCAATCACAGCACACACTGGCCCAGCTAACCAATCAC